AGGGACTAAAGAATTTACATAGAAAATAATTTTTTATGTAACTTGACTAGCAAAAAACACATTATGTTCAGAAAAAGGTTAGGACAAAATCCTGAATTTTCAAAAATTTTCAGAATATGTTTACATAACCCCATTCTTTTTGTCCTGATCGTTTATTCAGGAAGCATCCCAGAAAAGTTAAATCTCTGTCTGGAGATAGCTGTATTTAGTAATCAAACTACCTAACTAAGGAGAGAGGTAAGCAAAGCAGAGTCAGACTATCAGTCCATTGTTGCAAATTTCAAATAATCTGGCAAAATGAACACAAGTTAACATCAGTGAGACCCTGAGAAGGGGCCAAGAGTCCCATCTGTCAGGAGTGGATGGGGAGTCCTACTCCCCATGATGTGGACATGTAGGTTTCTAGTGATCAATCATTTCTGGTGCAACTGGTCCCAACAGCAGCTAGGGTTAAAATGGTCAAGTGATCCAATGTCATTCAGTGTCCATGATGTTTTGTAGTTTATGGGCCCACAGAGGGGTGTCGTAAGCTAACCTACTATATAGTCCTGGGGTCTGAATTCCGTTCATTGAGCCTATACCCACTTTTGAAGCTTGGAACCATCCATCACAGATAGTATCAGGTTTTAGTTCAGCATCAGTTCCAGGTAGTTAGGATCTATGAATTTAGGATTCCAAAAAAGCTAGGAACTTTTCTTCTTTAGCAGCAGCAAAGCCAAGAGGCTGCAGGGCCAAACAGCTGTGTTCTAAGTCAAAGTGACAAGCACAGCTTTTTAAAGACCTTTTTATATTGTCAGCTTTAGAATCCAAATGGACCTACTCAAAAATATGCATATTAGGCTTGAAAATCATCAACATTCAAGGGTCAGACATCTGATTTCACAAGAACTTATTAGCAAACTAAACACTGCTTTTTATTTGTTTTTATTTGCAAGTCATATATTCTGATAAGGGCCGATTATTATATAAATAACTCAAAACTCAACCACAAAAAGATAAATAACCCAATTTAAAAATGGACAAAGGACCTGAAGAGAAATTTCTCTAAAGAAAATATACAAATGACCATAAAAACATGAAAAGAAGTTCAACATCATTAGTAATTATGGAAACACAAATCAAAACCACAATGAGATAACACTTTACAGCCATGAGCATGGCTATAATAACAACAACAAAAATACGAGGTAATATGGTACAACTACCGTGGAAAACAATTTGGTGGTTCCTTAAAAAGTTAAACATAGAATTATCATATGACCCACCAATTCTACTCCTAGGTATATAGCCAAGAGAAAATTGCTTTTTAAAGCTCAAAAAGTATATTTTTTGGTGAAGATTTTCTCTCCTTCTATGTTGTCTACCTTTTCCCATAGGCTTCAACAAGCAAAAAGCATAGCAAACATCATCAGTTATGGAGATCTCAGTATTCAAATACTCAATGAGTTTAAGTTGTAGCTCATCCAATCAGCAGCAAAAATGAGAAGGTTATGTTTTCTACTAACACTTTTTATTGGGCAGCTTTCCCTAATTAGGATAATCCCTCTAACATTTATGAAATTACAAGCATATAATATTTTACATCAGTTTTTATCATATATTCAGGTGCAATAGCCACAAAATAAAAGCCATTAAAAAAAACTTTCTTTTTTTCATTGTAAGTTTACTCAAACCCCTAATAGTAGACTTAACATTTATGGGATTAACATATAGCAGAGTTTCTCAGCTGAGAAACTCTCAGCAGCCGGAATGTAAGGTGCTCCTGTTTAACTGTTACTCCTAGCGTGAGGATTTGCTAGAACTCAGTGTATAGTTGTACCCATGCATATGATTTATTACATTGAAAGGATATAAAGCAAAACTGGAAACACAAAATCGAAAAGGCATACAGGGCGAAGTCTGGAGGAAACTAGGCACAACCTTCTAAACCTCTTTTCCAGTAAAGTCCCATAGGATGTGTTTAATTCCTCCATTATTCCTCCATGTAACAAACTGTGTGAAGTGTTATGTATCTGTTCATTAGAGACTTAGTGTCCAGGGTTTTTATTGGGTGCTGGTCATGTAGGGTATGGACTGCATGCTATAGACCGAATATTTGTGCCCCCCAAAATTCATATGTTTAAGCCTAATCTCCAATGTGTTTGTATTTAGAGGTGGAGTTTTGGTGAGAGAAATAGACCATGAGGGTGGAGCTCTCATGAGTGGGATTAGTGCCTATGATGGTAAATTTTATGTGTCAATTTGACTGGCCACAGGGTGCCCAGATTAAACATTATTTCTGGATGTCTCTGTGTGGGTATTTCTAGATGAGATTAGCATTTGGATCGGTGAACTCAGTAAAGTATAATAGATGGCTCTCCCCAGAGTGGGTGGGCATCATTCAATCTGTTTGAGGTCCTGGATAGAATAAAAGGGTGAAGGAAGGAGAAATTTGCCCCTTTCCCCCCTACCTCACTGCTTCAGCTGGGACAGCTCATCTCATCTTCTCTTGCCCAGAGAGAATATAGTATATTCTGGGATTTATACTACTGGATCCCTAGTTTTCATGCCTTCAGACTCAGACTGAATTATATCACTGGCTTTCCTGGTTCTCCAGCTTGCAGATGGTAGATTGTGGGATTTCTCAACCTCCATAATTGCATGAGTCAATTCCTCATGTATCATATATATATCCTACTTTGGAGAACCCTGACTAATACAGAGCCCTTGTAAGAAGAGACATGAAAGAGATAACCTCTCTTGGCCATGGGAAGATACAGTGAGAAGGTGACTGTCTACGAAGCCAGGAAACAGGTCCTCACCCATCACTGGTTCTGCCAGCGCCTTGATCTTCCACTTTCCAGTCTCCTGAACTGTGAGAAATAAATGTTTGTTATTTAAGCTACATAGTCTATAGTTTTTTGTTTAGCAGCCTGAATTGACTAAGACACACCCTCTGCTTAGCACATACCAAAATTCTAGACTCCCAGAAAGAAAACAGGTGCTCGGCATGAGCTACATTGTGTGTACAGTCTAGGCATAAGAGCCACTTTTATCATATAGAGGAAGTTTTATATCATTGTAGGAAACTGTTTACCAGACATTTCTAGATGCTAGCCAAGGGCCAACCTTGTAAGCAAATCATTCTAAAGATTAACAGCCTCAGGCATGCTATGTGCTTTTTCCCTGCACATTTGCCAATACCTTAACTGGTTCTGTCTATAAGACATTAAGGGAAGGGTTCCAAACTTCAAGAGATGACCATTACTCAAAGATATTCTGAAATAGAGTCCCACTAATTTTCCTCTAAGTGCTTTAAAGTAATAATTAGATATTATCTGCTCTGGCTTCTACATCCCCTCCCCATAAGATTAATTTATTTTTACTTCAGAAATTGGAAGAAAGGACACTCCTGTCTTAGAAGGAATAGAAAAGAAAAGGTTTATCCGTAGTCATGTTTTGTGGACAGACCTAGTCCTTGCTTCCTCAAGAGAACAGTAGTGACATGCAGTTTTAACTCTTCCTTTCTCATCTGCGTTATTGAGAGGCAGGCTTCCTCCATTCTTTAATAAAAATATTACAAAGTAGCAAGAACACATTTCTCACTATTTAAAGCAAGAGACCAAAATGTTGCAAGCGACTTTATACTTCGGTTACTTTTTCTTAGTAACATAGTAGTCGTGATACCATGCTGTACAAACATTGGTCATAGTCATCCAGCCTATCTTTTTGCAGCTCAAGGAAGCATTTTCATATGGCAAATGGCCAAGAATCCCTGTTTTAAAATGCAAGATTTCCCAAAGGTCTCTTGGGATACTAGCAGAGTGGTGGAAAGACTTTGGATGTTGTTTTTCTATTCTTTGGCTTTACTGCTTAGTATTATTTTCACCTTGGCAAGGGTTGATCTATTTGAAACCCAATTTCCTCATCCATAATTGGGATACAAATCTCCCAGTCACCGAGTAGTTATAACGAAATTAGCATATGTGAAATACTTGGCTCTATACTTGATGCAAATATGAGCTCCATAAATGTAATATTCTATTTACCTTGAAAACTTCCCAGTAGAAGACAGAGACTCTACTGTTCATAGAGTTCATATTTATGAACTCTAACGTTCATAAATAAACGCTATTTATAATAGTCCCAACTAGAAATAACCCAAATGGCAGCACAAAAGGGCCATCAGTAGTAGACTAAATTGAAAAAAACATCATGGGACATTCATACAATGCAATGTTAATGCAACAGTGTAAACTAATGTTACTACAAAAGCATGAATGTATCTTCTCACTGATGTAAAGTTGAATGACACAAGGTACTCCATACTGTATAACACCATTGTGAGAAAGTCCAAAAACAGGCAAAATTGATTTATAGTGACAGAGGTCAGAAATGGTAACCTTTGGAAGGGAGTATGGATTGGAAGTGGGCTAGACAGAGCCTGCTGGGGTGCTGGAAATGTTCCATGCCTTCACCTGCATGGTGGTATACATATGTAAAAATTCATCAAGCTGTGCACTTAAGATCTGTAAATTTTACATGCACTTGTACATTATTTATATTTGGAGCTGGCCACATTGCAAGCTGCAGTTAGTCTATTCCTTCTATGTGGCCCCATTTCAGAGCTAGCCTGGAGCTGACAGGCATATTGCGAGGGTCATGCTCCATCATCATTGACAGCTGGAGATGCCATCACATGCCACTGGCAGCAAAGCACAGGGAAAACCAGGCGGTGGACTGTGCTTCCCACCCTGAGGCTGTGAGGCACGAGCCCTGGCAATGGAAGGATTAGAAAGCCTCTCAATTTAAAAAGACAAGGGGGAGGGGAATGTGGGCTGCACAATTTATAAATAGAAATTGCCTAAGGCTGCCTGATGATGAGGTGGTTGTTTAGTAAATCTTTCTTCAAGGATGCCATTATCGGAGACCATTTTAAAATATCAGTTTCCTTTTGTCTTTTGGGGGAGATCCTGGTTTTCATCCAGTCAGCCTTGTTGAGTGATATTTCCCTCTGTCAGATCTAGGGTCAGGCCTTCAGTATTTTGAGTCACCTGTACATGGAGCACAGAGATGATGACGACGACGATGTGTCTTTTGCCAAATGGATGAGCAGCTTCTGGGGTCACAGCTGGAGAGAGGAGGATGAGAGGGGACTCCGGGAACGCCACCACCGACCACAAGCCACCATTCACAGGAAAACCTCTCTGCCCTGCCCAGTGAGTTATTGTCATGGGAGCAGGGGAGAGCTGGAAGAGGGGAGGGGGTTTTTCTTAGAGAATTATTTGAAGAGTCTTTTGGTATAAAGTTTTCTTTGGTTTAAAACCAGTACTTCCAAACCTTTTTTTTTTTTTAACCCACAAAAAAAAATCCTTTTATTATTTTACCATATCTTTAAAGGGACCTGATTTTCATCTAATAGGTAGTGATTTCTTCATTTTTAGTTATCTATGATATCTTTAACTGCTATTTAGAGCTCCTGGTAAACCTGAGATAATCCCACTGAGTGATAGAATTCAAGCCAAAGGAAAGAAACTTGATGCCATGCTCAGTCTGTGTAGCATTGGGGATCAATGTGTGATTTCCATTTGGAATGCTGAAAATTGCTAAGGAATCGGGGATTCCATAGGACAAATTGATACCTTTGATAAATTTGGTATACTTGTTCTTCGGGGAACCAGTTTGATTTTCTCATGGGAGCCAAAATTCTCCTGCCCTCAGCACTGTTTTCCTCTGGCTAGGCAGAGCATTCAGTGTCTGGGGAGCAAGAAGCTCCAGGAAAGCTCTCAAGAGGGGCCTGACCAGGTGTGGACTCAGCAGCAGGTACAGGCAGCAGTTTTCATGGCTCAAGTGTGGTGCTAGAAGGTTGCACAGTAGACACATATGTCTTCTGCTTCACAGTTACCCAGCAATAATACAGCTGTTCTTTTTTTATAAATCATGTAGAATTCCAGTGACCAGAGAATACTTCCCCAATCCCCTGCTTCTACCAACCCAGAACCAAGTAAGTTTTAGGGCAATGATTTTTTATTTTTAGCTCCAGGCTTCCCACATGCATAATGCCTATGAGGTATATTAAAGTGTGTAAGGCAATTTCTTTTACTCCTGGTGATCAGCAAGTTTGAGGAATGAGAGTTCTCTGTGACACAAATATTTCAAAATAGATCTCTTGCCAACTGGATACTTGGGGACAAAGGGGAAGTTTCAACACCTCTTTGAGCTTCAAGTCCCTTAATTGAAAAAGAAGGGGTGTTGGACTGGATGATCTCCAAGAACCTTTCTTACTCTAACTTTACATGTTCTGTTATAAAATAAATACCGGCTTATCACTTCTCATTTTAATCTTTTATGTTCCACATTAAGTAAGGTATTCATACTGTGTGAACCAGGAGTATGATTAGTATCCAGTTTCTAGATGTGAGAACAAGGCATAAACAAAGAGAAAAACTGAGTTACTATTTATTACAAAAGCCCCTTAGAGCCTTAGAAAATGTGAAAACAAAGGCAGAAAAATGGCTTATAAAATATAGTTTCTTGAATAAACTTCAGCATCTTTCAGGCTTTTAAAACTGAGATAGTCCATCCTATTTAGAGGATTCACTTTTAGGTTGTAATGTTATTTGTCTTAAACTGATGGGGAATCACAGAAAGTGTTTTGTATAAAATTCTAAATGGCAACTTTATGACATCTTTTTCTGCTCATCTCTGCTTTGGGCATTTGCCAGAATTAACCTGTTTAGATTCTCTAAGTCTGTAATGAATTTCATTATCAGACTAACATGAAGAAAGCATGTGTTTATTCAGGGAGACAAAACATGGTATAAAACTTTCAATCTTGAACTGGATGCAATGACTCCTGCCTATAGTCCCAGCTACTTGGGAGGCTGAGGTGGAAGGATCGCTTGAGCCCAGGAGTTTGAGGCCAGCCTGAGCAACATAGCAAGACCCCATCTCTAAAAAAACAAACAAAAAAGTAAAATAATTTTAAAAAGCCTAAAAATATTACAGTCTGACTGAAGAGAGTAGAAAGACTATAGGCCTAGAACATAAATCAGAGGACCTAGAGGTGATGTGGGCAGAGTCTTGGAAAATAGTTAGGAAATTTAATTCTTCATTCTCCATTTATATAGTGCTATATATTTATAAAATGAATCTGTACTTGGATTCGTAACTTTCCTATCTAAAAATGTGCTCAAATTTTTCAAGGTTTCTTTTTCAAAATTACCTTTTCCGACTTCCTATTCTCTCTCCATACTCTCAATTTAAAGCAGTGAAAGATATTTTAAATTTTAATTTTTATCGTTTATTAACTTCAGGATGGCTACTCTAAGAATGAGAATTCTTTCCTACAGTATCTCATTCACTACGGGGCTGGTGGCATGGCTCCCCTGGGGACTTTCACACAAATCTGGGGGGAGAAGGAGTGCCATAAAGTTTCATGATTGGTAGTGGCTTCTTGTATTACAGGTGACATTTGTACTTAATTTTAATAGGTAGCAATTCCTTAATCCAAAGGAATGAAACTAATGATAGAGTTTTAGCCACTAGTGAGAACTCTGTAGGGGAGCTTTTAGCAAAATGTTCTATGGGCTTTTCTCTCTTCTACTAGGTGCTAAGGTGGAGGAGATGCTAAAAGGCAGCAGAGTGAAGTGGTTAGGAGCGAGGGCTCTGGAGCTGGCCTCCTGAGTCCTTAACGCACTGCTCAACTTCTCCCTGCCTCAAATCCCCCATGCGTAAATGGGATAGATGATAATAGTATGTATCTCAGAAAGGGGTTGCGAAGATTCAATAAGTAATGTATATATAGTGCTTAGGACAGTGCCTGGTACCTAGTATCAACAATAATTTCTCCTCCTCCTTCTTCTTCCTCCTCTTTTTCTTCTCCTCCTCCTTCTTCTTTCTCTCCTCCAATTCCTTCTTTACTTGTCTTCCTTCATTTTCTTTTTTGTCCACAGTTTTGAAACTTGGAAATTTTTTCCAGATGCCGTCAGTTAATTTTTACAGAAAGTTCTAGAGTTTACAGAAAGTTCTAAAGTTCTAAAATTTTCATTTTCCCTTTCCTTTATATTTCTTTAATATTTCTCTTTTATATTACAATGGAAAACTAGTTGGTATTTTCATATTGAAGATTGGCAGATGGCGTAAGTTCTGTCATGGCCTGAACGTTTGTGTTCCCCCATCCCCAATTCATATGTTGAAATCACTAATCTCCAATATGATAGTATTTGGAGATGGGCCTTTGGGAAATAGGGTTAAATGAGGTCATGAGGGTGGGGTCCTGGTGTGTTAGAATTAAAAGCCTTTCAAGGACAGACACCAGGCTGGGTGAGATGGCTCACACCTGTAAACCTAGCACTCTGGAAGCCGAGGTGGGAGGATCACTTGAGGTCAGGAGCTCAAGACCAGCCTGAGAAAGAGTGAGACCCCATCTGTACCAGCTAGTTGGGAGGTGGAGGCAGGAGGATCCCTTGAGCACAGGAGTTTGAGATTGCAGTGAGCTATGATAAGGCCACTGCACTCCAGTCAGAGGCAATGGAGTGAGACTCTGTCTCAAAAAAATGTAAAAATAAGTAAATAAATAAAAAATAAAATAGACACCAGAGAGCTTGCTCTTTTTCTTTCTCCCCACATGAGCACAAAGAAGAAGTCATGTGACGATACAGTGAGAAGGCAGCCAGCCATCTGCATGCCAGGAAGAGATTCCTCACCAGGAGCCCAATTAGCAAGAAACTTGAACCTTGATCTTGGATTTGCCAGCCTCCAAAACTGTGAAAAATAAATTTCTTTTTTTTCTTTTTTTTCTTTTTTGAGACAAAGTCTTATTCTGTTGCCTAGGCCCTACCACCTTGGCCTCCCAGAGTGCTAGGGTTATAGGTGTGAGCCATCTCACCCAGCCTGGTGTCTGTCCTTGTAAGGGTATTACTCCTGTCACACCAGGAGCCCACCCTCATGATCTCATGTAACCCCAATGATCTCCCAAAGGCCCCATCATATTGGAGATTAGGGCTTCCACATATGAATTGGGGAAGGGGAAACACAAACATTCAGTCCATGACAGAATTTATGCCACAGAGTGCTGTGGTGTCAGCCTAGCTCACAGCCACATCAAACTCCTGGGCTCAAGCAATCCTCCTGTCTCAACCTCCCAAGTAGCTGGGACTACATACACACACACCACCAAGCCTGTATAATTTTCTTTTTTTCTATTTTTTCTAGAGACTGGGTCTTGTTCTTGTTCAGGCTGGTCTTGAACTCCTGACTTCAAGCAATCCTCCTGCTTTGGCCTCCCAAAGTGCTAAAATTACAAGCATGAGCCACCATGTCCAACCATAGACTAAGATAAAAATACTCCTCACAAAATTCTTTTAGACGAATTCCTAAAGACCTTTAGATTATTTATTACTTTTGTAATAGAATTCAATTAAAATTGGCACATTGTTACAAGTCATATTTACAGGCTATTGCTGCTGTTGAAGACAAAGGATTTAGGATTGCAAATCTAGGAACCAGGTGTCTCATATTTAGGCTCTCAAAGTCACTAGCCATGTAAAGTCTTAGGCAAGGCTTAGCCTCACTAGAATTCATTTTCCTTATCTATAAAAGAAGAAGAATTACTTCCTTACAGAATTTATTCTGAGTTTAGCAATCAAGGACATGGGCCCCAGAGTGCCTTGTACCCCAGGGCGCCTGGTACATACTGTGCACGAAGACTCGATATGGGTTTTATTATCCTAGCACCTGGATCTTTCTCCTTATCATGTCTCATCTTGCTGTTAACCATTTGCTCCAGGGCAAGAGGGATGCAACTGAAGGGTGATTGCAATTAAAGCCAGAATAAATAACATCAAGTAGTTAAGCTGTTGAAGTGAAAATATTACATAACCAACTCACCCTGCCCCCTTCCTTTTAAGTTCATTGGCACTTTTAAAAAAGAGAATTTCTTTTTTTAGAGCATTTTAAGTACAAAGCAATACTGAGCAGAAGGTACAGAGATTTCCCATGTCCCCCATACTCCCACACATGCACAGCCTCCCCCCTCATTAACATTCCCTCTAGAGTGGTGCCTTTGTTGCAATTGATCAACCTACCTTGACACATCATCGCCCAGAGTGCACAGTGTACATCAGGGTGCACTCTTCGTGTCATACGGTTTAGAGGTTTGGACAAATGTGTAATGACATGTATCCACCATGACAGCTTCCAGATTAGTTTCGTTGCCATAAAAACCCAATTTCTTTTTAAATGAGGACTTATGATTTGGGGTCAGGGAGTGATAGGATTTTTCTTTGACAGAGATTGTTGTTCTGAGACCATAGTGGAGACAGCTGTGCTGTCCAGAGCACTCTCTTTGGGCCAGGGTTGGTGCACTGGGGCGTCATTGTCCCCACAGGCAGTGCCTGCCGCACACCGTGTAGCCCAGGAGCCCAGGCTGGCTCAGTGTGAGAAGATCCCACGTCACAGTGTGGGAGATTGATGGGTAAGCTGATTTTAAGCTATTTAGGACATTGTTTCATGTCTTTTTGAGGGAAATGACATTAGAAGGGCATGTAAAATTCCAAAAATAGTTTTCCTAGCAAGTAAACATTTTTAAAGGGGGAAGCTTCTCCCTGTAACCAATCAGAATTCTCTTTTAAGTGCATTCCCCACAAAGTCACACACACCAAAGCGAAGAGACAAGCTAGAAAACCTATCTGACATAAGGAGTTTTCAATATACACTTTATTTTCTTGTGATCAAAACTATTGCCATTCTTTTTAGGCTCCTTAATGGAAAAGGACATTTGTACAAAGCCACATTTCATTCCCACTCTCAAGTTTTTAGGGCATAATTATTATTTTTTCCTGATCTATTATACATAATCACTAGAGATAACTATGAAAATACTAAAAAGAGAAAGAAAAAAACAAGAGCACATCACAGAGAAAACCTCTCATAGCAGTTTGGCCAAACTTGTGAAGCTGCCCTCCTTGAATCCCTCAGGGTCTCCTCATTGAAGCCCTCCTGGCTCCTCTCAGGCCCTCTGCACTCCCCATCCCCACCAAGCCAAGCGCTTCCTTTCATGCCAGCAAGCTCCTCCAGAGGCGGTGCCTCTGCCCTCTGCCGCCTCTGCCTTGTGGTGCTCATCCTCCCGCTGAAAAGCAGTCCCTGTCTCTTGATTAACCCTTGCTCCTCCTTCAGATTGTGGCTCAATCCTTAAGCAGTCACAGAAGTCCTCTGATCTCCTTCCCCCAGCTCCCCACACCCACCCACTATATACATAGTTTGACTCTGTTCTAACTTCTCGTTACACCTTGAACTTTCCCTTTATAGCATTTAGCTAAGGATGTAGGCATATGCCCTGTTTGCTCAGCATGTCTCCCATGTAGACACAAGCTCCAAGAGGGAGGCACTGTGCCTGCTGTGCTCCCCACCTTATCCACAGCACCTAGGCCCATGACTAACCTGCAGTAAACAGACTAAAACATACATATTTATCTTAGGTATCTTAGCAGCTTTGCAAATCTTTAACCATATTTCTGATTATTTTTTGAGAGTAAGTTTCTAGACCCATGTATTCATTTGCTAGGGCTGCCACATCAAAGCACCACAGACTGGGTGGCTTAAGAATTTATTTTCTTATAGTTCTGGAAGCTTGAAGTCCCAGATCAAGTTTCCTTCTGAGGCCTCTGTCTTTTGATTGCAGATGGCCACCTTCTCACCGTGTCCCCATCTGGTCTTTTTTCTGCGAGTGAGCACTCTGGTGTCACTCTGTGTGCCCAAATTTCCTCTTCTTATAATACACCAGTCAGATTAGATTGAGGCTCACCCTAATGATCTCATTTCAACGTAATCAGCTTTTAAAAGGCTCTATTGCCAAATGCAGTCACATTCTGAGCTACTAAGGGCTAGGGCTTCAACATATGAATTTTGGGGGGTGCACAATCAGCCCATAGCAATTTGCAATGGCTGCATCTAAGGAAGGGGATATTTTAAGCTCTTTGACACATATTGCCAAAGCCTTTCCAGGAAGGCTGTACACAGGAGGAGCATTCTGACTAATGGAGAAGAGAGGCATTGAACAAAATTACCCAAATTACTGATTATAGTTGTAATAAGTATATCAAAGGAGAAATCTGAGATCCCAGGAGAGCATCTAACAGGGACTTGAACCAATCAGAGAGGTAGGAAAGGCTTTCTGGGGAAATGCAGTTTCTGCTGTGCCTTAGGGAGGTGAAAGGGTAGGGGGTGGATGAGGTCAAGGGCAGGGAGGCCTGCCTGTGCCAGCGCCTGTGCTGTGCAGGAGTAGGTGGACTGGAGGAACTGACCAAAGACCAGTGAGGCTGTGTCACTGAAGAGGTGCGGTGGTGCAAGACGAGGTACAAAGTGAAAAGATGAGCAGGTATGAATTTGCTGCTTTTTAACCATTCTGGCTGCTGAGGGCACAATGAACTAAAGGCAGTGGGAGTGAATACACAATATCCACTATTCGGAGGCAATTGCTATAATCTGGGTAAGAGATAAGGATGACTTGGACTAGGGCAGTAATAGTGGTGCTGGAAAGAAGCATATAGTTTTGAGAGACTCATGAGCGGTAGAATCTGGTGATGCAGCAATTGGGTGTGTTCCTGAGTTACCGGCCTGAGTAACCAGGCAAATGGTGGGGCCATTTTCTGAATTAGGGGACACTGGAGGAGCAGGTTGGGGAGGAGAGATGATCAGTTCAGATTTGGACAAGCTGAGTTGGGTGCCCATGGGACACCAACAGAAGACACTGAATGAGCAGAATCTCAGGGGAAAAGCCTGGGTTAATGATATAAATTAGGAAATAAAATTATAGCTAGCAATTGAAGCCTAGGGATGAGTATTTAGGAAAAGAGTACAAATTGAGAAAGGAAAGGTGGGGAAAGAAGACTAGTCTAGAACCTTGGGGTACTTCAACAGTTATCAGCTGATAGAAGGAAAAAGTAAACACAAATGTCTAAATCACAGTGACAGGAAGATCAAAGGGAAGCAAGAGTTGCAGTGGTAGAAGACAAGGAAAAATTATTTCCAGAAAGGTCCTGTGGGCTACTCGAGTTGAATGCTACTGAATGATTAAGATAAAGACCAAAAAACACACAGAATTTGGCAACATGGAAACTAATATCCTGACCAAAATTAGCTGTGAGTGCAAAAGCTAGATTGGAGTGGTTTGGAGAGTGAGAGAAACTGAGACAGCAAGTGTCATAATTCTTTTAAGAAGTTTGGCTTCTCTAGACTGTCCTTTGCTCATTTTCTAACTGAAATTTTAACATTGATGTCATTGTATTCTATGGCTTCTTTGTATGTGTGTGTGAGATAGATATTTATTAAACATTAATATGTAGCACTTTTTTTAGTTTCTTTATGGTTGAATTTTGTTCATGTTGTTTTGGATACACATTGGCTTTATTTTTATATAAATTAATTTTTTCCTTATGACTACTTCTTCCATTGTTCTTTTGCTTAGAGATTCTCTCTCCATATCGAAATTGTATAAATATTCACATTTATATTATTTCTTAAAATTCATGGCTTTCTTAGAAGATTTTAAAGAAGCATTTTGGAAATTATTTTTGTATATCAATTTAAGGCAGGGGTCCTCAAACTACAGCCCTTGGGCCACATGCGGGTGTTTTAGCCTGTTTGATTTTTACTTCAAAATAAGATATGTGCAGTGTGCATAGGAATTTGTTCATAGTTGTTTTTAAACTGTAGTCTGGCCCTCCAATGGTTTGAGGGACAGTGAACTGTTTAAAAAACAGGGACATCCCCCTGTTTAAAAAGTTTGAGGACACCTGATTTAAGGCTTGGAGTGCCTCATTTTCGTGTTCTAATGGTAGAGTAGCAAACAACAAAGCTAGTCTTGGGATAGTCTACTTAATTTTTAACCAGTTGACTCTGCTGCCTCTTTATATGAGACAGATCTTATTGATCAAGAAGATAATATTTCATTTCAACATGAGATTTGTTTATAAACATTCTGCCTCTGTGCTGACATTGTATAGTCTCTTTATACTGTACATTTTTATATTCTGTATTCCCAGAATATGCTTTCCAGAATTACATCATCTGACCACCATCCTAGAAGGCATTCTCATGAGGACCAGGAATTGCGATGCTGTACCTATATGCGGGATTACAGAAAATACTCAGGGGATGGGTCATTCAAGGAGCCACTGGCATCAAAAGGAAGATCCCATTCCAGAGTTCAGGAATTTTCAGATTCCTTTGAACAGCAACTGTGCTTTAGAACCAAACGTTCTGCATCTTTGGTATGTAACAGAGCTATTGACTATTTAAGCCACTTTAGAAAAGGAAATCCAAAGAGTTTGTCCTCCTCAAGTTTGAGGAGAACAAATCTAACTCCTCCTTCATTTACAGCGTAGGGATGAGATCTTTGAAAAATGACAGTTTAAGATAGCTCAGAGGAACAAAATTTTGTAATTATTATTTTTATTCAAGACATCTGATGTAGGAAGAATTCCAAGGTCCTCTAATTCTTTGAGCCTGCTTTCATCAACCTAATTATAAGTAATTGTGACTCATTCTCCTTTTATTACTTGAAAAAGAGAAAACCTTCTAAGACTCCTCTCCTTTCAAATTTAATTCACTAGCAAATAGTCTATGATGGGGTTGGTTTCACTTGTACTTTTAAAAAATCACACACAGAAGGAACTCTCTGGACAGTTGAGCAAGTATCCAAGAGTAGGAGTGGTCTGGTGCTCACAATGAACCCCCTGAGAGTCTAAGGAAAACACAAAGGAGAGATGGACTTGAAATGGGCAAAAGAAAAGAAACTCCGTGGATGATACCAAACTTGATGCATAAAGTAGTATACTAGAGACCAATTATTTTGGGGGTTGTTTCAACTCTGCAACATGCTCACTGAATGGCCTTGAGAAAAATACTTCCTTGTTGTGGGTCTTTGTTTTTTTGTTGTATGTTGCAAAACAGGAATAATAATAGGTTGCTGCCATGTAGTAGGCAAAGCAAGTAATTAAACCTAGGAGTATTGGCTCCTGGTTCTTGAGCCAGACTCTGAATGCACAGGTGAAAACACCTGGGTGCTTCCTACTTCTTTGTCCATCTGAGCACAGTGAGTGCTATCTACCTAGCAGCCTGGCTGTTGGGACTCCCACTGTGCATCTTTGCCTTGCAGAGTGGCCCTATATATATATGATTCACTTTCGAAGAGGAATAAGGAAGGCAGAATAGTGAACAGTTGTCATTTACTGTATCTAAACCTTATTATTAAGAATTCCTATTTTGTCTTTTCTTTATATTGTTTGTTCTGATAAGGTTTCAGACTTAGAGAATGTTGCAAGAATAGGACAAAGAATTCCCATATACCCTCCACCTAGATTCCCTTCAAATGTTAACATGTTATCATATTTGCCTATGCCTCTCTCCTTCCCATCTCCAAAGGCACAAGAACGTTCTCTTACATTAACAAAATACAATAATTGAACTCAGGATTTTAATACAATTAAATTACTATTAAATTTATTACTTAAATTTTATCACTTAAATTAAATTGTATTAAATTTAATACAATTAAATTACTATTAAATTTTTAATACAAATTAATTACTATTAAATCTACTCTATAAACCTTATTTATATTTTTTTGTCAGTTGTCCCAATAACATTTTTTATAGTGAAATTCCAGATCATGTGTTGTGACCAATTTTCATGTCCCTAAAATCTATTGTATTCTGGAGCAGTTTCTTAGTCTACCTTGTCTTTCAGAGCATTGGCATTTTCTGAAGACTATAGGTCAGTTATTTTTTAGGATGACTTTTAATTTGGGATATTTCCCCATGATTAGATTCAGATTATGAACTTATAGCAGGAATAAAACAGAAGTGAAAGAATTCCTGTTTTAAAATTGACATGTTAAAATGTATATCAATTCAGGAGATGTATCTGCTTTAAATCCTTCCTTAAACAAGGTAGGGCATAAATATCTCTTGAAAAAAATTTTAATCTGAGCTGTTCTTTACTGATTCTGATGGCTTCAAAAAATTTTTATATAATAACTCATACTCATATAATTGCTTATTTGAAATTCATTTGCTAATATTATAAGCCCCAAATGTATGTAAACATAAAGTCAGTTTGCTTAATTAAAGACATATACATCACATTATCTCTAAAATATAAACTATGTTTGTTCCATTTATTTTCCAAGTTCTTCTTTTGGGGTCCAAGATAATCAAGGGAGGTTTTTCAACTTTTTTGATTCAACAATTCTTTCCACAATTGTATGTAATATTGAGAAACCTGTTAGGAATTTATAAAATCATTAAAAAATTTATATATTATAACTGATTTAAAGTTAAATATTTTATACCAGTTTTTAAAGAGATATTATCAAATTTAAAGCAAAATTAAAAATTCAGAACATATACAGATACTTTTAAACTTTTTGCAGTCTACATATTTTTCTAAAGTTAACTACATTAAAAAGTGTAATTTGTCAGCAAATTTAAAAAATGGTATATGTTATCTTTTGTTTGGGGACCAAATGTATACTAATATCTAGACTTAAATTTTACAGGTTTTGGCATCAAAAAGAACCAGAAACTGCTTTTATGGCCTGATAATGACCAACAACAATAAGTTCTTTCATTTTGATATTGAAAAACTCAGCTGGCTTATTTTGAAAATTTTCACATTTTGTTTCTAAGTGATGTGATAAGAAAATATATTTTAGATAATCATTTATGAGCATTTCTCAAAAAGTCTTTCTTCTCAATAAGGGAAAAGCCAAATTGGAAATGATCATCACGATATTTTCTTTTTTATACTGTTCTGACAAGTGTTAGAGACATACATGACTGCAAAATATGAATTTTGATCAAACGAGCGTAAGCAATGGATCTGATGGAAATCATCTGGAGACAGGCTTACAGAGCTAGTACAAATTTTAAGTTCCTCTTAACTTGTATCTCTGCTTCATTGTTTGTTTTGTTTCTGACTTTAATCAATGAACTACTAAGACTAGAAATGAAACAGTCGAGGTATAAAAACAATTTAACATTGTAGAGTAGCTGACACCACTACAGTGACCAGACATCTCCGTCACTGTCAACTTGCGTGGCTGCGTGCTGACCTTGCTCATGTGACTGCCATAGTCCTTTATCATATCACCCAGTTTATAGTTATCATTGCACTTACCGCTATTAATTATTTTCTGATTTCCTTTTAGGTTTGTTTAGGAAACAGGGTCTATTTAGTGTCATCTCTCCTGATCCTAGAACTATAATACGCATTCAATAAATCAGGGAAAAAATATGGAAAACCCCAGGGCAACCTGTTTTGGAAGGTTCATCTGGTTGAATGCCATTCCTGAACATTTCATTCTTCACACAATCCTCACATTAAAATCTAGTGCGAACCCTACTATTACCGTAATTTTACGGAGTTAACACGGGGATTAGAACCATTCCATGTGTGGTCTCACGTGCCACTTTCCTTTCCAAAAAGCACCAGGAGACTATTAATTTCATCATGCTAGGAAATCACATCCCTCAGTTTGTCAGAAGCAAAGAGTCACAGTCATGTGCAGGTTGAGTTTCCTTCCCAGATTGTCTGCTGATGCTCAAGCCCTCTATTCCTTTTCTTTGTGACTAAAACCGTTAGCAACACTCTTAGGCTTATGCTGATTTATTTCTAGAACCAAAGATGTGGACGTCTGCTAAATGATCGGGGCTTTCTTCATGTCTTATTGTTTAAGAGAAATGTGAAGTGTTGTCAGCAGCTGGTGCATTTCTACCCTTTGCTGATCCTCTTTTTCAGGGACCTGAGAGCAGGAAGGAGAGAAATGAAAGGGAACGCCTGAGGATGGAGATAAGATCCCAAAAGAAAGTAGAGGAAGGAAGGAGCTCCAGGAAAGAAGAACCCAGAGAAGCATGCATGGCTCCCCTGCTTGAAAAGGGGCCTGAATAATACTTTGCTTCCACATCATGGCACCAAATGCTACTCTGTTTTTGTGACCCCTAACACACCATTTCAGCACATTGGTGGGGGGGAGGGGACAGCTGTGGGGGGAGGGGACAGCTGTGAAGGGCGTCTGCAGAGCCTGAGAGACTGAAGTGGGAGGGGTATGAGGCTGCTCCACAGGGCGACTTGCGTCATACCGACTGCTGCTGGCATGTTAGTTGACAGTGTCATCCGCTTTGTGGGCCTTTTATGGGAATAAAGAGAATAAAAGGCATTTTAATAGAATAAAGAAAATTTTGAAAATGTAAGAAAGATATTTAAAGAGCCACCCACATATCTTCACTAACCCTTCTTCCACGTCAACCTCACAAATCATCTTAAATATAATAAAAGTCATTGGCGTGACTCTACGTTTACTTTCTTATTAGAAATAATTATGTAAGCATGTCTAATGGCCATCATTTCAGGAGAACTGGTAATTAACGTGCCAAGTACTATGTGGAATGCTTTAATGCATTACTTAAAATAATCCTCACTGCTCTGAGGTGGGCCTTGTATTAGTCAGGGTTCTCCACAGAGACAGAACCAATAAGAGACACCAGGGCTGTCTGGGAAGTATCCAGCTATGTATTATGAAAAATAGAGATGTTTATTATACTAACAAGGTCTGGATACTTTCTGGACAGCCCTCGTATATACAGACATAGATACACGAGAGGAGATTTATGAGGGGAATTGGCTCACGAGATTATGGAGACTGAGAAGTCCCCCAAGAGGTTGTCTGCAAGCTGGAGGAGCAAGGAAGCTGATAGGTGTGGCTCAGTCCAAGTCCAAAGGCCTCAAAACCAGGGAAGCTGATGGTCTAACTCTCAGTCTGAGGCTGAAGTGGCACTGGTGCTAGTCTCTGAGTTTAAAGGCCAGATACAAGTCCTTGAGTTTAAAGGCCAGATAACCTTGAGGCCAAGAGAGGAAGGGTGTTCCAGCTCTGGAAGAGAGAGAGCTAATTCACCTTTCCTCTGCCTTTTTGTTCTTTCTAGGCCTATTGGATGGTGCCTGTTCACATTGAGTGAGGGAGGATCTTCCTTCCTCAGTCCACAGATTCAAATGCCAACCTCTTCCAGAAATGCCTGCACAGACACACCCAGAAATAATGCTTTACCAGTTATCTGTGTATACTTTAATCTAGTCAAGGGGACATCTAACGTAGTCATCACTGACCTATTCTTCACTTCACTTTCTGGATGAGGAAACTGACATTTAGAAAAGTTCTGTAGCTGCTGGTGTGGTGGCAGAGTTAGGTCTAGAGCCCAGTTCATTCTGATACCAGAGCTCATGCTCCTAACATGAGGCAGAATCTTTAATTCCCTCTAGAAGCACTTCCCAACTTAGCATCTGTGTGACGTGCATGTGAATGAGCAGATGTAAGTGAGAACAGCAGGAGTCCTGTAGGTTAAAATTTTGATTGCATGGGGGAATACTGATTCTCTGAGCTCAGCTTTATACTTTGGGTTTTAACTTTATGGGATCACATTATATCACTAGTTTTTTCCCTCAAAGAAAAGATACTGCAATTCTCTAATGCTCTCCCTGTTTATTCTTCATCTCTGCCTTGGATCTTCAGATGCCCAAAGGCAGCTAGATTCTTCATTTTGTAAAGAAGAAAATCTCCCCAAACTACTACTTATAACTAATACTGTAATTTGTTGCTTATGCCAGACACTAACTTGGACATAGACAGTAGAAAGAAGAAAAAAAGGGGAATGAAAAAAAATAAGAGAAAAACAGTAGAAGTAAAATATCCATGATCTTTACTGGCATTCCTTCAACTTTGAAATAACCACTACTTTCATACATTCTGGCTTGATACTTCTACATGCCCTTTCTAACACAGCAATATGTTCTTGAACTATCACATGGTGACTTTTGTCTGTTAATTGCCACCACTGAGGGGGGAGTGGAGGGGACCTGCCATGTACTGCACTCTGCTTTGTACATGCCTGCTTTGTACTGCAGCCATGGGTAGGACGGTTATTTCCTTGCCCTCACTTTGGCTACTTTTTAGTCTTGCCAACCAAGTTCCAGATTTGGAGATGGTTGATTTGCCTACTCTGGCTTCTATAGAAAGGTCTGGGGAGATGTGGCCCACTCATGGGGAAGGGAATGAACCGGGATGGATTTTCCTTACCACGTGGATGGCTGGCTGAGTCAGTAGTTGGCTCCTACACCAGTCGCCATACCTGTGAAGTTTCTTCCTCTCCCTAGACTCAAATATGGCAGTATGAGAAAAAAATCATGATCGCAAATTTTTTTAATTTTTTTAAATTTTAGCATATTATGGGGGTACAAGTGTTAAAGTTATGTATATTACCCATGTCCCCTCCCCCCTCGAGTAAGAACTTCTAGCGTGTCCATCCCCCAAACGTTGCACATCTCACTCATTATGTTTGTATATACCCATCCCCTCCTCCCCCCTCCCACCTGCCGGACACCCAATAAATGTTATTCCTATATGTCCACTTATGTGTTTATCCGTTAATATCAATTTGCTGGTGAGTACATGTGGTGCTTGTTTTTCCATTCTTGAGATACATCACTTAGTAGAATGGGTTCCAGCTCTATCCAGGAATATACAAGAGGTGCTATATCACCATTGTTTCTTAAAACTGAATAGTACTCCATGGTATACATATGCCACATTTTATTAATCCACTCATGAATTGATGAGCACTTGGGTTGTTTCCACAGTTTTGCAATTGTGAATTCTGCTGCTATAAACATTCGAGTGCAGGTGTCTTTTTTATAAAGTGACTTTTGATCTTTTGGGTAGATGCCCAGTAGTGGAATTGCTGAATCAAATGGTAGATCTACTTGTATAGCTTTAAGGTATCTCCATATTGCTTTCCACAGAGGTTGAACTAGTTTGCAGTCCCACCAGCAGTGTAGGAGTGTTCCTGTCTCTCTGCATCCATGCCAGCATTTATTGTTTGGGGACTTTTTGATAAAGGCCATTCTCACTGGAGTTAAGTGATATCTCATTGTAGTTTTGATTTGCATTTCCCTGATGATTAGAGATGTTAAGCATTTTTTTTCATATGTTTATTGGCCATTATTTTGTCTTCTTTTGAAAAGTTTCTGTTCATGTCCTTTGCCCATTTTTTGATGGGGTTATTTGATTTTTCTGGCTGATTTTTCTGAATTCTAAATAGATTCCAGTTATAAGCCCTTTATCAGATGTGTAGCTTGCGAAAATTTTCTCCCCTTCTGTGGGTTGTCTGTTTGCTCTCTTGACAGTTTCTTTGGCTGTACAGAAGCTTTTTAATTTGATCAGGTCCCATTTGTTTATTTTTGTTGCTACTGTGATTGCCTTTGGGGTCTTCTTCGTAAATTCTTTGCCTAGGCCAATGACTACAAGAGTATTTACAACATTTTCCTCTAGAATTCCAATAGTTTCACACCTAAGGTTCAAGTCTGTTACCCATCGTGAGATGATTTTTGTGAGAGGTGAAAGGTGTGGGTCTTATTTCAGCCTTCTACACATGGCTATCCAGTTTTCCCAGCACCATTTATTGAATAAGGATTTTCCCCCCAGTGTATGTTTTTGTCTGCCTTGTTCAAGATTAGTTGGCTATATTAAGACGGTTTTATATCTGGGTTATCTGTTCTGTTCCACTGGTCAATGTTCCTGTTCTTGTGCCAATTACAAGCTGTTTTAATTACTATAACCTTGTAGTGTAGTTTGAAGTCTGGTAAATTGATACCTCCTATTTTATTTTTATTGCCTAGGATTGATTTTGCTATATGGGGTGTTCTTTGGTTCCATACAAAGCGTAAATTATTTTTTTTATATCTGTGAAAAATGATGATGGTATTTTGATAGGGATTGCATTGATTCTGTAGGTCACTTTGGCTAGTTGATTCTGCTGACCCATGAGCATGGTATATTCTTCCATCTGTTCACGTCCTCTGCTATTTCCTTCTTCACTGTTTCATAGTTCTCCCTGTAGAGGTCTTTTACCTCCTTAGTTAAATATATTCCAAGGTACTTTATTTTCTTTGTTGATATTTTGAAGGGAATTGAGTCTTCGATTTGGTTCTCTTTTACTGTTGTTGGCGTATATGAATACCTCTGATTTCGTGTGAGATTTGTATCCTGAGGACTTTCAATGTCATTTATCATCAGAATCTCTTGTTGAAATCCTTGGTGTTTCTAGGTTAAGTCAGTGTCATCGCAAAGAGGAGACAGTGGTTGATCTCTTTTGCGTCCATTTGACGCCTTATTCTGCTCTCTTGTCTGATTGCTGTAGCAAAGGATTCAGCATTAGTGAATAGAAGTGTCGAGGATCGAGTCGGCGAAGCGCTGCTTGTTAACGTTGCGTAAGTGAATCCTTTCAATCGTTTTCGCTTCGAGTGTTGATCGGTGTGTTGTGGTCATTGATGGCATATAATTTTTACGGTGCGGGGCGAAGCCCGCTATGCCGCTTTGGAGCGTGTCGTGATCATAGAAAGGGTGGTTGATTTTGTCGAGCTTTGTCTGCATCTATTGGAGGGATAGATGGTCTTGTTTGCTTCTGTTTATGTGATGAATCTAGATTTATAGATTTGGTATGTCTAAAACTCCATGGATCTGATCGAAGCCACTTGTGTGAGGGTTTTTCTTGCAAGCCTGCATGCAATTGACTAGAAGTTGTTTGCGAACTTTTGCTCTAATATTCATAAGCGATATTGTCTGTAGTTCTTTTTTTGTGCATCTGCGCTGATTTTGGTATCAGGTGAGTTCACGTTCATAAATGTGTTGGGGGCGGTTGGAGTTCATCCTTCTCAATGTGTGAATATTTCTGCCAGGATAGGGTTACCGCCCCCCCCCCCCCCCCCCCCCCCCCCCCCCCCAGTCGCTTTGGTAGGTTGTAGACGGTGAAACCATCTCGGTCAGACTGTTTCGTTTAGAAAGGTTGTTTGATTGCTGTGAAGCAGTACTTGATATGTCCTGTTCAGGAATGCGTATTTCTTCCGGTTGAGCCTAGAGCTGGTGTTCTAAGAAATTGTCCTTTCTCCACAGTTGTGTGCATAGAGTTGTGAGTCATTCAATGTATCTATCAACTGTATATCTCTGGGCTAGTCGTTGTATTTCTCCTTATTATGCCGAGAGCGGCGCCTATATTAGGTTTTTCTTTCGCTTTCGTAGTCTAGTCAAAGTGTGTCACATTGGTTCTATTGTCAAAGACCACTTTGTGTTGTGTAATCGTTGGGGGGCGCGCGCGATTGGTTTCTCACTTTGTCAGAGTTGCATGTATGTTCTGATTTGGATCTAATGATTTCACTCCTCTGCGGGTGGCTTGGTCTTTTCTTCTTTTTCTGAGCTCTTTGAAGGAGAGGCGAGTAGGGGGGTGCGGGTTGTGGTATCTTGCAACTTT